GTATAGGCCTATATATACTGTATATATAAATCATGCAGCGAGCACTGAACATATATAAATATAGACAAATAGGTAAATGATGTTATAGAAGTATTGTCTGTGTGGGATTCGAACCTGTGACTTCTCGCTAAAAAGCCAATCATCATACCTCTAGACCACAACGACCTATGAGTCAAATTGATTTTATCCAGCCCGATACACTTCAACGCACAACTGTCCAGTACGTCTAAATTATGTCCACTTAACTCAATTAATAATTATCTCTTTTTTATTGCCAGAGAGAGATGCAGAGGCCTGGAGGAAAAAAATTGAAAGGGAATCGAATCCTTTCCAACCCACGCCAGTTTTAGAATGTAGGTTGACTTGCTTCATCTATTTTAATTTTAGGCAGGGGTCTATAGTTACACCATTCTCAAACGCATTCTTAAATCTAATTGGACGTTATTGAATCAGAATTAGGAATTTGAAACAGTTGTAAAATAGCCACTGCCTTACTTAATGTCTACTGACCAAAGCAATAATTAATAGAATTGCGGAAATATTTTTGGGGAGGGTGCAATTTATTGATAATTCATAGTTGTTACTATTCATTTTTAGGCATTTTTACTATAGACCTGATAATATTTTTTATAATATTAATATTTTGTTTTTAAATACGAATTTAGTAGCTGCAAGTAACTATCCCAATATTCCCGTGACACCAGAAAATCGAGGAATTACACTGCACGACCATCCCGATGGTGAGTCTATGGCCATCATAATTGTACTCTTAATATTCATATAATAATAATAATAATAATAATAATAATAATAATAATAATAATAATAGTAATAATGATGATGACAACGACGACGTCGACGACGACTACGATGATGATGATAATGATGATAAGGATGATGAGGATGAAAAAGAAGAAGATGATGATGATGATGATAATAATAAAAATTTATACTTTAAATATTAGTATTAATTCATGTCACACCAACATCGTTATAAATCATTTTTCCAGGTCCCATTGAAACATTTGACGCCTTTGTATGTTTTACGATTGATGATCGTGCTTTTGTCTTGGAAATGATGAAATACCTAGAAAAATCGCCCTTCAACATGAAGCTTTGTGTGGGATTTCGAGATGTGGTCCCTGGGGCAGCATGGATGACTACATCAGCAGAAATAATTGGAAAAAGGTATATACATTAATTGTATATATATACATATATATATATATATATATATATATATAGGTCTATATATATAGATTATATATATATTATTATTATTATTAATTGTA